AATTATATTAATATTTATATATTTATTAATATAATAAATTATAATTTTGTTGTATTTATATTATAAGATAAATAAATTAAATATAATATTATTAATAGTAATAATAAGATTAATAAATTAAAATATAAATAAATAATATATATATAAATTGTTATATAATATAATATAATATATTAATTAATTAATATGAAATTATATATAATATTTTTAAAATAATAATATTTTATATATATATATTATAATATAAATAAATTAAATATAATATAATTAATAAAAATAATAAAATTAATAAATTCAAATATAAATAAATAATATATATAAATTATAATTTAATTATATATATGTATATGATTACATACTTAATACTTATTAAATACATATATTAAATACTTAATACTTTAATACTTTATAATATACTTTTTATAATATATATATATGTATATAGAACTTTCATGTAATATTTATTACAATAATAAGTAATTTTTTTTAAGTTTGTTTTTTAACACATTTAATAATTGAGAACGTTATTGCGTAATAATATTGCAATAGGGCAAGAAAATGACGCACAAGTAATCCAACAAGTTTATTTTAAGTGTACGACCTAGAATAATCATCATCTTTACCATCATCATCATCATCATCGTCGTCATCATCATCATCATCATCATAGCTACTTCGTTTAACAATAGATCTAGTAATGAAACTGAATAAGGTAAATTGAGGGATGTTTTCTATTGTGTAGTTCATTTACTCTCTTTAAAGAAAGAATTAAAAAGAAATGGGGTGTGAGATATATGGTTGTGGTCGCAGTAAGAGAAGAAATAATAAGAAAAAAAAAGCTTAAAAGAAAGAAAGAAAGAAAGATAGATAGAAAAGAGAAACTTAACATTAGGAAAGGGTCGTGTGTTCATTTTAAAAATTCTTCTTTTGATATTACGTAAGCTGGACACGTAGGCACACGTTCTTCCGTAGCTCGTTTCATTTGAACGCGATGTGCATTTGCAACTTTTACTATAAATATTCACAGGTTTATTTTTATTTTTATTTGCATTTTCAGATTTGCACAATTTTTTTTTTGTATATATATATATATATATATATATATTTAATTAAATAATATTATTCTAAAAACGTAATAATTATTAACGTAGTTCTGAAAAGATGATGAAATTATATAATCAAATTTAATATCAAAGTTATGAATATATATTATATAAATTTTTAATAAAAATAAATATAATTTAAATAAATAATTAAAATATATATATAAAATTAAATAAATAAAATATATATATATATAATTATTATATTTATAATAATTATATTATATATTATTATATTATAATATAATATTAATATTATATAAATAAAATTAAAATAAATATAATAGAATTAAAATAAAAATATTAAAATATATAATTAATATAATATAAATATATTATAAAAATTTTATAAAAAATATATATTTATAATATTGTATATGTTTATAATATTATTATGTTATTATGTTATATTATGTTATTATATTATTATTTTATTATTAAATTTATAATATTGTGTATGTAATATAATATATATATAATATTAAATATATTATTATTATTATTACATTTATTTATTTATAGAAGGGAATGAGTTTGACTCATCAAGAGGAAACACGTGAAGCACAAAGAAGACTTTGTCATCATGGAAATATCACAAAGAACGGTATATATATATAAAATATAATATTAATTTTCAATTTTAATCGTTTAATTTTCTATACGATTAACTTTGAAAATAATTCTGAAAAACAAAAAACGATGTCTACAAATTAAATTCTCTTTTGTAATACTTCGAAATATACTACTACTACCTCTGATCATTTTAAGTGTTCATCGTTAAAATTGTTATTTTCTTCTTTTTTTTTTTTTTTCAATGTTTCTCAAAGTGTTTTTTAAGTATTTCAAGTTGATAGGTTTAATACACTTTTGAAAACTATACGTGTATCAACTTGAAACACTTAAAAAACACTTTGAGAAACATCGACAAAGTACTAATATTAATACACTTGAAATAATCTAAAGGGTCGTAAGATTTTTTTTTTTTGTTCATTTTTATATTAAATGTTTACTTCCTCTCTTATATTAAAATAAAATCGATATTGTTTATAATTATTTCATAGATTTTATTTCATTAGGATGGTGTCCAATGATATGGGATACGATACTTTGTTGGCCTTCAACCCCACCAGGAGAATTAGCATCCCTCTATTGTCCTGATTACATCGCAGGATTCGATTCTCAGGTATTAATAAATTATATTTCTTCTTTTTATTTTTAAATATTACAAATATAAAATTTCTAAAAATTGATTCAATATTATTAATTTTGATCACATTTCAATCCATTCGAGACCACATTTTTCAAACACAGTTTCCAGGGAGCCATTTCTTTTTTTTTATTATTATTATATTACCAATTTTACAATGAGTAAATTTTGTTTTTCTATACATTAAAGATACCATTTATACATAATTGATAATAGTTAATATATAATATTTAATTGTAAATATATAAATTAATTATTATTAGTAGTAGTAGATTTTTTGTTTTTTTAATTATATATATTAATTATTATTTATTTTATTTTAATATATTATAATATATGAAAAAATATAATATAATATAATATTAAATATATGTAAATATATAAATTAATTTTTTATTATATTTTTATTTTGTTGTTATTATATTTTTGTAATTTGGGTCACGAATGGATTAAGAAAAATTTAATTAAAAAAAGAAATATGTAATAAATCAATTGTTTCAAATTAAATAGAATTGTTCTAAATAAAAAACTTGTATAATAAATTTATATGCAATAGTCAAATGCAACGAGACAATGCATGCCTAATGGCGAATGGTTTTGGAGATTCGACACCAACAGCACTTGGGGCAATTATTCGCAATGCTATCCTACACCACTAGTCACAATTGTAATGAACATAACCGGTGTTCATTCGAACAATATCACTCTTATCAAGGTAAACGAACCATTATTATACGAATTCAAATGAAACTTAAACGAAAATTGAAAACTAAAAAGCCTTTATGATAGTTATTAATATATTTCATAACATAATATAAAGATGGATTCATAAACCACAAATATAAATGAAATATTCTCTTATGTACATACATACGTTCTCTTATTTTATTTTGATTTTAGTCAGTAAAATTAGATATGTGAAACGTGTCTCTGTCTGTACTGTCCTTACAGAAGTATCTTCCCATACTGAAAACTATTTCTAAAGTTGGATATACGGTATCCTTCTTCACCCTGGTTATTGCATTTTTCATTCTTGCTATTATTAAGTAAGTAGAATTTTTTTTTTAATAAATATGTTATTTATATAATAATTATTATATAAATATATTAACTTAAATAAGACTTAAATATTAATTTATATAATAATAAATATTATATTATAAATTTTACATTTATATTAAAACTATATATTATTATATATATTATATATTAATATATATATTAATATTATTATATATATAAATGTAATTTATATAATAATTATAAATATTATGTGCAAAATAAATTTATCTTCTTTTCTAATTTTTTTTTTTTGCATTTATTTGTCTTTTTTCTTTTAATAGGAAATTGAGATGTCCAAGAAATATGTTACACATGCACACATTTTTCTCATTCATGATGCGAGCATTTATGGCACTCTTAAAAGATACCCTATTCTTAAGTGGAATTGGTCTTGCTTCGGACATCATAATTAAAAACAATGAAAAATATTGGATATTCGATGAAACAGAAACCAATTGGCATTGCAAACTGTTCACCAGTTTTTGGCAATATTTTATATTAGCCAATTACTTTTGGATCCTTATGGAAGGACTTTATCTTCATAATTTAGTATTCTTAGCATTATTCGCTGATGCTAATTCAAACATAATTGCTTATGTTTGTTTAGGATGGGGTTAGTACGATTAACTTATTATTAATTTAATTTTTATCTTTTGATACTTAACAAAATAGAAAAATTATTGTATTATTTATGTGCAGGATTACCAGCAATATTTGTAACTGGTTGGGTTATATCAAGAACTATACTTGAAGATACTTTGTGTTGGACAACTAATGAAAATCCATATTTATTTTTATGGATTCGAATACCAACGATGCTTTCCATATTAGTAAGTTCAAACAATATAAAAATTATTAAATTATTCAAACAATACAATGAATTTTAATGATTGATCTTTCTTGTGTTATTTTTCTTGTTGTTTTTTTTTTTTTTTCAGATTAATTTCGTTCTTTTTGTCAACATCGTACGAGTATTATTGTCCAAATTAAAATGCACCGTATCAGAAGAAACCCAAAGATATAAGTAAGTCAAGAAAAAAATAAATTAAATTATTAATAAAATTAATAATAATAATAATAATAATAATAATAATTTTAATGAAATATACACAGACGATGGGCAAGAAGTACTCTGGTTCTGGTACCACTTTTTGGAGTACATTATACAGTTTTTTTAGGTATGTCATACAGTATGGGAATCGATGAAAAGGTTGAAATTATCTGGCTATTTTGCGATCAATCTTTCGCTTCTTTTCAGGTAAAATTTTTCAAATATTTCAAATATTATCTATCACATTCTTTCATTATTTGAGGGCCATTTTAATCTTTATTTTATTTCTTTTTTTGTACAAATGAAATATTCTACTAATTTTTTATGCACGAATTAATTCCTCATATATTACTTTGAATAAAATTCACAATTGAAAAATGATTAGTTCGCTTATATATATATATATGTATTTGTGGAAAACATATTACTTTTTATTTTTTATTAAAAAAAAAAAATTAATAAAACGTGTCAAAGAGAAAAAAAGGATCAATAATAGTTCAAGGTAACTTCTACATATTCACGATAATATTTTTTGTTTTTTTTTTCTTCCCCAAGCGCAATTTAATGCACGTGCGTATTCTTATAAAAAAAAGAAACAAAAGAAGAAGAAAAAATGATCGTGACGCAATATTCGAGGATAATAACAGTTATTGGGTCCACCCCTATACACAGGGGGTAAAGTGTTATGCAATAAAAATGATATTTTCTCATTCTCTTTTATAGGGTTTTTTTGTAGCAGTCCTTTATTGTTTTATGAACAGAGAAGTTAGAGCAGAAGTTTCAAGGGCATTGAGAAATTACAGATGTCCACGTTTTCGTTATGATTCAAGGAAAGGTCCACGTTCAAGTAGTGTATGTAGTTGCAACACTACAAAATTAGGAAGGAAACGTGATAAAAGACCAAAATGGTTGGCAAAACAATGGCCTTGTTTCTATCATGATCGCGAGGGTCATCGTTCAACGCACTCGATGGCGAGTACACAAGGTGTCTTTTTAATCCTACCGAGCTGACGTGCGAAGAAAAATCCCACGCAGCCCAATCAAACTTTTCAACAATTTTATTTCACTATTTAAATGTTCGTAGTTGTATCTTTGCATTCATTGGGTTGCCCAAAATTAAAGAAAACAATCTTCTTTCCGATTTATAAATGGTGGGGTGAGAATCATAATGAATCAAAATCATAAAAGGTGTTTCCTTATATCAAATATTATGAAAATAATTGTATATCTGGTTTAAAAAAAAAAAAAGGAAGATATTAAATCAGGATAAGAATTTACTAAAGGAATTTAATTAAATTCATTTTATTTCCGCGTTTATTAAATTCTCCTTTGCAGAAATATGCTCGGTCAAATCGATGTTATCTCATTTGATTATACTTAAATAATAAAATATATTATTGCATGATTTTACGTAGATATCGCAACGCGAGGAGGTAGTTTAGCTAGCAGCAGAGGATACATGGACATCGTTGGAAATGGATCCAACGTGGTATCGATGGATAATAATCATAAAAACATTATGAATCATACTTCACCCCTTTGTAGTAAATACACGGATCAATCTTTACTTTCATTTACCTCAAACGTGAGTAATATTAAACATTTTAATTGATCATATTTCTAACGTTGATAAATATAAATCATTTAAACAGATAATTTATTTTCTTAGGTGTCCGAATATTCCACAAATGCGGACAAAATTTGTGAACGGCATAGATGGAGTGATTCAGAATGTTGTCAGCTTGCATATGAATTACATAATCTTCAACATCAAACGTATCACTGACAAACAGTATGAAATTTGTATGCGTTAAGAATAATATTTGAAAGAAACACGTTTATTAATTTCCATCTGATCTCGCGAAGTACGTTTTTAATGTAAAATATAATATCTATGTTACGTTCCTCGGTAATAAATTGATTTTGTAATGAGAGTATGATTCCGTCGGATTTATTGTAATGAAAAGATAAAAGAAAAAGAAAATATTATTAAAAATTAATATTATCAATTGAACTAACAAATATTATTCGATCTATAGAAATATTTTGAAAAATCAAAAAGAAAATATATTCTTATGCTTGAACAAAATATATAACACATTATTTATAAATATTTAAAATAAAAAAAAAAGGATATATTAATCTTAAAACAAAAACAAAAATAACGTATGTGTGTTGTGAATCGAACTGCGAACAAATTTATCGGTATGATGATATACCTAAAAAAAAAGTACGTGTTCCTAATTAATAATTTAATGTCGTCAATTTGTACCGTCATTGATTAATATTTATTCTTATCCAAATTTGTAATATTCGTTGAAATATAAATGTATTCACCTTATATTAGAAAAGTACGCGAATCTTTCGCTACTGCCAATTAAGTACACAGTAAATGTCGTCAATTACCTCTTATAAGGAATATTATTCTTATTATCATAAAAATAAAAATATAAAACACACACATTTTTATGATAAATTTAAATTACTGAAACTAATAAATTTCTATTGTCAACAAATAATACGATTTATATAACGAACGATATCATATCAAAGTAAAGCAAACAATTTGTTACATAAGTCAAATCAGAATCAATATCAAATTTGAAACCAATTAAATATTATTTATCAATACTGAATTGCCATTTTTTTTCCAATAATAAATATAAAAAGCTCTCTATAATATTTAATAACTGTATATGTTCAACGTAAAAAAAAAAAAGAAAAAAAAAGAAAAGAAAAATAAAATAAACATACATATAAGATTAAATTATTATGGTAAACGTTATTATGTATATATTGCAATAAAATTGAAAAATTATGTATATTTACATTTATTTGTTTTATATTAATTATTAATTAATATTTTAATACAACAATTTATGGATAAGTAACTATATTCATAACCAGTTACACAGTTATGTAATCATGGTCATGTATAAGAAAAAAAAAAATTATTTTACATCATTTAAATACTTATCGTATTTAGTCTTACTGATTATTATACTATTAACAATTTGTTCAACTGAATGAGTTTGTCCAAAATAATCAACAAATAAGCCTTCTGGATCAAGTAAATATATGATGATAGTGTGGTCAACCTAGACACCAAAAATATTACTTGTCAAATAATTATTTGAATAATATGTAATATGATCAGAAAAAATATAATTTACTAACAATGTAATCATTATCCACATCTTTAGGCCCGTTACTGTAATATACTCTATAAGCTTTACAAACTTTAGCAATTTGTTCAGGAGTACCAGAAAGGCCAAGAATTTTAGGTGAAAATTCTTTTATGTAATTTCCTACTATGGCTGGAGTGTCTCTTTCAGGATCAACAGATATAAAAATTGGTTGAACTTTCAACTTATATTCACTCTCTGCAATAGAAAAATTCAAACTAACAATGTGACTTATAATCTTAAAGATGAAGTTTTTATAAACGATTATTTTCTATATACCTAATTTATCGACAATCAATGCTAATTTTTCAAGTTCATCTGGGCAAACATCTGGACAATGAGTGAAACCGAAATAAATTAAAACCCATTTTCCTAAGAAATCATCCAATTTGACAGTTTTCCCTTCGCTATTAACCAACTCAAATTTTCCACCGATAGCAGCTTTTCCTAACTGCCGTCTTCTTTCACGGGTCTCTGCCTTTTCTTTTTCTTTTTTTAAATTATACAAAATTCCTAAAAGAACACATCCAAGACCTGCCGTAACCGTCAAAGATTTCCATGTTATTGGAGATACCTTTTTAACTTTTTTTTTATCAAGCTTAGGTGATGCAATCTCTCTATAAACACTTGATCTATTGATCTGTCTAACCTATAAATAAAATATATATTGTTATGTTAGATCAATGAAAAATAATATATTGATAATAGATCTAACATACCTGATTAAAAATATTCTTTGGTGATCTATTTAAGCAATTAATAGTTCGCAATATTACTGTGTTCATTTTGTTTACAATATATATATACAAATTATAACCTCAAAAACCACATTTAATACTTTCAATGTATATAAAAATACAAATATAAACGCACGATACAATTAACTTTGTATCTTAGATAATTAAATACTGATTACGAATAGTTTTTATGTATGTATTTACGAATATTTATATGTATTGTAAATAAACTGTGATATTATATTAAAACACCGGTACAAGTTAAACTGAATTTTTGTAAAATGAAAATTTAACAAAACTTTAATTATCAAGTTCTTTGCAAAATATTATCACAAAAAAAGAAGAATTTATAAAATATTTTTTATAACGATTATCTTTCACGTTTTTTTTTTCATTTACACCAATACATTCTAATGCTTATGTGATATTTCAAAGGTAAAATCACGATTAGATTACGGCGTTTGCGCAGTAAAATTAATAAATTTTGATTACTTACAATAAAGTTTTTTAATTCGTTAATAACATTTTTTAAATATAATTGCAATTATTAGAACAAAACTGTAGCAATGAAAATATATACTGTAAAAAATAATTATAGATAATATTCAATTAAATATATCATTTATATTACTTCGTCCTGATTGGTCGATATTCACAAATCGTGTATTTTAATTCTTACAATATTGTATTACAGAAATAAACCATAAAATTATTAAGAAATGTAATGACGTATCAAAACATAATGTAACATATAAATTTATTCGTTTAATCCAATCAAAGAACAAAAAGTAATTGATAAAATTATTCAAAATTATTGCAAATCTCTTTTATTGAAGTAAATTTAAGCGACCAATCAAATAAGCCTTTCGCAAAGGCGGCGTATTTGAATCGTTTAACTAATAAAAAGCTTTTTATTCTCTTAAAAAGATGATATTAAAAAAGAACAATATATAAAATGTGTGGGTATGTACGTGTATTAATAGTCATACGAATACTATTATTCGATAGTTAATAATTGTTAATAATGAATAATATAGTCCAGATTTTGTTGTTATTCATATTTACAAATAAATAATTATCAGACAAAAGATATACTCACGTCTAATAATTATTACGAAATTTATTAAAGTATTCAGTTTGAAATAGTTCACCTGTACGAATGAAAATATTTAAATGAGAATTTATTTAATTCGATAGATGTTTTTAACGTTATTAAATAATGGATTTTGATAGCGCTTATATAGGTAATTACTAATTAAAACTCTTTCTATGTTTAATGTATAACTATCGTTTCACACACTTTGCATATAAGAAATATTGACTGGAATACATTTTTATGTGATAAATATTAGAAAGAAAAAAAATTATATATATTTAAAAATTTATTTATTAAATTTTCTTATTTTCAGATCCCTTAGTAGATGGTTGGTTAGAACAACTTCATGAAGCTATAAAAGAAGAAGAAAATATGGTTAGAGCTGAAGATGAATTTTATATGCCATTCATAGGTAAAAAAAAAAAAGAAGAAACACAGTACAAATATAAAATTTCGTCTTTAAATTAGCATTAAAATAAAAATTATTATTATTATTGTTTTCAGGGATTCCAGCATCTGTAATAAGTGCTATTTTCAAAATAACATGTCACCTAGAACTAGGAACAGATACTAAATATTTAACAATTCATTTATATGATAAATTTATGTGCAATTATTTTTGGGAAGTATATAAAACAGAAAATGAGGCAACTGAAGCTTCATGGTCTAAAATATGTCAAACAATTTCTCATAAATCCAAACTATATCTTGTATCTTGTCTTCAATTAGCAAGTAAAATGGATTTACATTCTAAAAGTTTAAGTATATCACAGGTATTAAAGTAATTTTCAAATTAAATTCATTTCTTTTCTTTATTCTCTATTGAGAGATATTATTTTTGTATATCTGACAGTTAATATGTATTTTACGTTGGATTGATAAAAAAAAGGAATATACAAATAATGTACTTATTAGTTCGGAATTTAAAGTATTTAAAACTATAGGATTTAAAATGCCTTTCTGTACACCGTTACAATGTATCGAAGTTCTTTTAGCAGCGACAGGACTTAGGAATACATTGAATATATATGAAACTTCTATAGAATTATTGGATTTAGCATATTTACAGGTTTGTCTATTAAATGTGTAATTATAAAGAAATGTTATATAACAATATGAAATAACAATATATCTATAATTTTAGCACGAGCAATTATATTCACATGTGCAGTGTCTAGCGCAAGGTCGTATTAGCAAATCTGAAGTCAATAAGAGAAACTTAATGGCTCTTAAAACAAATTCATTATTTCTTGGAGGATGTATCATCTTGTGTGCAACATTTTTTTTATATTTTGATAATAATATAGCAAAAGGAATAGCAGCTAAACTAGCCGATCTAGTAGATACTACCTATACTGATATTTGGGATGTAGCAAATATACTTCTTATATTAGCGATACAGGAATAAATGTGAAAAACATAAAATAGATATATATATATATATCTATATCTATATATTTCAAATTATAATTGTACAAACATTATTTTAATTTTGAAGTTATCTCATATATATATACTTTGAAATATTTTTCTAAAACATATAACTATCGCTACACATATATATATGTACATAATACTACCGTCATACATATTTTGTTTACAACAACTTTAGTTACAAAAAAAAAACAATTGAACATTATTTTTCATAATTTATTAATTAATTTAAAATTTTATTTATGTTTAATTTCTCTACTTAATATCTTATTATTAATAATAATTTAATAAATGGCTTCGTTTGAATCGCAGTTCACTGCTTATGCAAAATATAGTAGACCAAAATCTGATGGTAGAAGAATCTCTTTATCACAAAGCGATAAATGGATGAGACAAGCACAAATATTTGATGATAAAATTACCCAAGCTGATACAGCATTAGCTTTTAATAATTTACAGTAAGCTATTTTCCAATAATTTATAAATATTATAAATTAAATTTAAAAAAAAATATATATATATATATTTATCTAGTCGAGAAACACTTCCTATAGAAGAATATAACAAATTCATAGATGATTTTGCAGAATCAAAACGTTTGGATTCTTCTGTAATCCGTGATAAAATGACAAAATGTGGTCCTCCAACTGAAGAACGATCGGTACAATTTAATCTTTTATCATTTATATATATATATTCAAATATATTTTTAATTATAACAATATTTCATTATTATTTTTCAGAGAATTGAATCAGTTATTTTGAAAAAAGTAGAAGATCCGTCCGGATATGTTTAACTTATTAAAATAAGAAAATGTGGGATAAATAAAAGAAGATATTAAAACGAAACATAATTAATATTAATAAGAAATTTATGCTAAGAAAATATTTTCATCAAAAAATTTAAGAGAAAATCAAATTTAATCGAACCTAATTCAATATTCAAAAATTCTTGTCTACTTAATAAATGACCATATGTTATTGTATTTAAATCCTTATATATATATATATATATATATATGTATATATGCATATACGTATGGCTGAAAAAAATACCAACACATGGTATTTACAAAAGAAAACAAAAAATATGTCCGCATTTATATTTTTTTGATTTTTTATTTAGCCTTTCAGTGCTATGGCCTTTTTCGTTGTGAAACTATCTTCGATAGTGCGCGTGATCCGCTATTCATTCATACAAATTCATATTATATATATATATATATACATATATATCTAACGATAGTATACGCTACTATCGGACAACGTATTTTTACTACTATTGCTAGTACGCTTTTCATTCTACTGCATTCTACTATCCGTCTGGTTGACGTGGTCATATAAAGTATGTCGACGCCTTACTACCGATCGCTACGTGCACTCTCACCTATAGGTACATTACATACTTACACATATAAAAGTTGTAATACTTCTGTTGGTTATATACGCGCGCGCATTAAATGTACTACAGCATACCTACCAACACATATATACAAACACACATACCATGAACCTATTCGATTCTATTCAAGATGGAGAGAAAAGAACGTAGGTCCTTGGTAAGGTGGTTGTAAACACAAAGATACATATCTTACTCTTGTTGAGAGTACTGACTGTTTAACGGAAAATTAAGAAATGGCTAAATCTGTATTAGGTTCGGATACTTTACCAAAAGCTGGTCGTGTTAACGAAGGTATGATAAATAATATTTTATTGTTTTTTATTTCGTTGATCATTTGAGATTAACGTTATATATCTTTAACTGTCACTGTTAACCCATATTAATCTAGTAATGTCACAGTATGTCGGGAGTGGTTGGTGCACGAAGATGGAGCATTGGCTTATAGATTGCAAGATGAAGAAAGTAAGTATTTTATTTTATTTTTTTTTTTAATAAATTATATTAAAAATGTTTCTTTGTGTATAATTAATTGTTATATATTTTTGTTTAATAGTTAAAGAACATTATACCGGTAATAAGGTGCGCAATGCTCAAGTACGTGAAGATCTTCCAAGAGCAAAGGTAGAACAAGAATTAGAGGCTATGAGATATCAAAGTTATATACAACAGCAGTTAGTAAAATAAATATTTGTTTATGTTAAAATATAATATTGTGGAAATGATGTATAGAAAGTATCGTATTTTTAAGGGAAGAAAGAGATGCTGTCGTAGCAAGACAAATTGCATTGTCATTAGAAAGGGAAGAACATTTAAGAGAAAGAGGAGAACATCATAGGGAAAGGGAAGAGCATCGTAGAGAAAGAGAGTTACAAGAAAAAATGAAATCACAATTAAGACTTGACGATGAAACATTATCGATGAAATTAGAAATTGAACGACGTATTCAAGAAGAAAAGGATGAAGTATATGTTTTTTAATAAATTCAAATTCTTACATACATGTGTGTAGATATTATTTCTTATTTAATAAAATAATTGTTTTATTTATTTAAAAATTAGGAATTGGCAAGAAAGTTACAGGAAGAAGAAGAAAAACGTACCATGAATGATCACGATTCTCCAATTAATGAACAATTATTATTAGATCAAAAAATTGCTATGGAAGCTCAAGATGCTGAATTGGCACGCATGCTTCAAGAAAAAGAACGTGCTAAGGCACGAAAGGCTAGAGAAAGAGCAAGACAAAAAAAATTAGAGAAACAACAGATGCAACAGTTGGAACAACATACTTTAATAGATAGACCACATCGACCTGATAAGATTGATTTGAGAAATACTACAAGTAAACATCGAAGACATGACACAAATTATACTCAATATCCAGATCCTGAAGAGATACAAACACTTGACGATCCTATCGAGGAAATACAAGAAGTACCCAACGTAGCTGCTATTATTGATCCAACTTATAATATAAATGAGCATCGAAATACTTCAAGTAGTTCAAGTAATACAGTCAGTCCAACATATGCATTACCTACACCACCAGCAGAATTAATGGTAGATAATAATGCACCATGTTATATGCCGATACAAGGACAACGAAGAAATCAAAATCAATCTCCTTCCCAAGCACATGAAGAAAAACACAAAAGACGGGTTAAAGATGGATGTAAGCATCAATGAAACAAAAATTATCGTGCCTATCGTATTTAAATTAACAATATATATATATATATATTTACTCATCTTTTTTGGTATGGAATATTATCAGAGTATTTCTAATAGGGATAATACTTTTTCTATTTCTTAGTAAATTAATCGCGTAACGATAGAAGTACTTACGTGATATATTAACGAATTTTTATAGACATTTTTTTCTCGCAATATTGCACACGATTAATGTAGTTAACTCTACTCCATTGAAAGTAGCTAATATATATATACATTTATAGAAAGTTAAAATATTCTCTACTAACTGTGATGATATCAAAATCATTACTTATTACTAAATTTAAGATTCATCTTTGCAAATGATATTGTTACAAAGATTTAGATGCTATTATTACGATAAAAATAATATACATTTTAAAGTTACATCAAATATGAAACCATACGTGCCTTTGGAAGAGTACGATTTATAAAATTAATTCATTTTTCATCTATACTCAGAGTTAAAATTTACAATAACACAATCGTACCATTTTCTAACCGATTATCTGCCTTCTCTATTATAAATACATTTTTAATAATAATAAGAAATATTGTCTCATTTTAAAATGATTACTTTACAATCAATATTGTTTCAATGTTTTTGAATTTATAGAAAATTTAAGAACAAAATTAGATATTATAATACAGCAAAGAACAAAAGTAATTTAATTGTGAAAATTATTGAGATATATGCTATATATATATAAACAAATACTTTAGCAAATGAAAACTTTTTGATAAGCTCTTTGAGAGAATATTTAAATTACTTTCTTTTTTTATTTTTTTTCGTATTTTATATTTATTTTTTCGTATATTATAAAAGAATATCATTCAATATGCGTAAAGCATGACACTTAAATTAATAATAGCGAATGTACATAATTATATTTAAGGATTTATGAATATATTCTTAAAAATAGAGTGAAAATAAGAAATAGAAAAAACAAATCCTTTTTTTTTTTATGCATGATGAACTGAAGTAAGAACTACATTCCTAAAGTTAAATCGATTTTGTTAATTCTATCGTACAACAAATTGTTGTTAATAGGCACATTGAAAAATATTTTTATTACTTTCTTGAATATTTAATCTCACATACAAATTTGCCTTCAGTTTCCATTGAGAGTTGTATTCCAACAGGGTTTCAACAATCATTTCGACGAAATTAATAATTATGTATATGACCGAACAGATATATATATATATATATAATACATAAATATATAAATATATATCTATATAGGTTGTAATATTATTATATATAAAGCTTATTTATATATATTAGTAAGTTATTAAAAAAAAAAAACAAATTAGATTGACAATCAGAGCAAAGTTAATGAAAATTAATATTTCATATATATATATATATCTTTCCATTATCTTTTATATAAAGAAAAGATGACAAATTCCAAATGAAAGTTTTGATTATAAAGAAGAAGAAGAAGAAAAAAAAATAAGAAATTTGTGAAATATCAAAAATGAAATGCAGTGTTTCAAACTATCTATTCAAATGATCTTTGTACTAATTCGATATACTTGAATCTCAGTGATTGTAAAAATCAATTTTTCTCTCTCTTTTTTTTTTTTTAATTATCAACGACATGTAGTAAATGATAAAATGACACTGCCAAAGATGAGACCATTAATGTTGGCTTTTATACCAGATGATAATAATTATTTAGATTTACTAAAATAGTATGATGCTCAAATAAGGAGAAGGTCTTTTTATTTAAACCTTATATGCGTAAGGTTTAACAATAAAGATATTTAGGTACAAAATATAATGTACAACATATATAAACTTTTTTTTTTTTTAGAGGGATTTTGAACATCATACGTATTTGCGAACATTAATATTAATATAATCGTTCATTAAACAAACTTTTATTATAGATCTTTCTCAAAGGCCTAAAAAAAAGATTTCATTCTCTATTATTTTCTCTCTCTTTCTCTTTATATTATATTATATTATATATATATATATTAAATTATAATTAAAATAAATATAGGACGTAAGTTTGTTTTTTTATTTCTTTTTTTTTTTGTTTCTTTTTAATATTTGTATTACCACTGGTGATTGGAAATTTATTTTTTTTTTAATAGTATCATGTATTATTATAATATATTTTTTATATATTTTTATTATTTCAATACACTTATACACACACGTGCGTGTACTTACGTACATACCACACACACAACACACACACACACACACATACCAAACGTATATTAATAAATTATTTACAGAGTTATTTTACAAGATTTTGTGAAAATTGTGTATGAAGTTGAAAAGAAGCGTCTCGTACGGCTTAAATAAAATCTATATTATCAAACTAAATTATATATATATATTTGTAGTACATAGATATTGATATTAATATAAAAAAAAAGATTTAACAAGTTTTATCTAAATTCACAAAGTGATGACCATTACCATTCTGACGATAGTAATTAACTTATAGCATAATAGAAATGAATTTACTTTAATTTTAGAGATTAATAGTACATCATCGTACTTGAAAATAATAACAAAATGTAGTTTTTCCAAATGGTCCCTCTATGCTACTACAATATCATCTACCATTTGTACCTTTTAAAGTAATATATAATTTGAATAGTTTATTATATACCATCTCATTGATTGTTCTTTTTAAAATCATTATATAACGTTTAATGATTTTAAAAATCATTAAACATAGATCGTATGTGTACATAAATATATATATATAAAAGAACAGTTTTTATTCATACAATTTGAAGAAACAAAAATGTTTTGTATAGATGAAACATATATATATATATTTATCAGATAATAAAAAAGAATATATAAAAAAGAAGACTTTATTAAATTTAAATAATAATTAATAAACTAAAGTTATTCATTTAGTTTAGATTATATTTTTTAAATGTATTCATCATCACAAAACTGAAAAATCAACAAATAGTTTCAAATCAATTTTCAGAATTAAACATCGTATGAATTTTGTTGTTGTTTATCTTTTAGTTTTCATTTTCTTTAACAATTATATATATATATTTTCTATCTCTAATCCGATTTGAATTATTTTCTTTGTTCGTAGTCAAATTAACAAACCGATGCTTCAATCAAATGTGATAGTTTTAAAGCATTTTTTTTTTTTTTTTTTATACAAGAACAATAATACTGATTTTTTTTTCAGTAGTTTAACAGTTAACGTTAATGAGATAAATTAAAACAGTATTTATTTTGTTTACAAGATCGAGATAAGAGAAAATATGTACATATTAATTATAAAGTGGTGTACAAAAAAAAAATTTGATAACTCTGGAGGCATATTTTGTTTAGAATTACAATAAATATACAAAATCACATCATGTGTGAATTATACTGTATATATATATATATATATATATAGAAAGAGAGATTAAAAAAAAAAAAAAACCAATGAATGGGGATTGTAATTAACAGGTCTATGGAAATATATTACTGTTAGGAAATACAACTGTAAGGTCTAGTGTTTTATTTATTTGTGAGAATAAAAACTGTTCTTTTTTTTATTATTATTATTATTATCAACAATTCATTTATGTTTTTCTTTTTTTTTTCATTTTCTTTAGATTCGTCTGTTTTTATTTATTCATTTATTTACTTATTTATGGTTTTAATTTAATTGCAGGATAATGTTCTTTTTCTTTTGGAAGATTTGACTGGAGTATTTTTTGTAACTTTTGAATCCATTTGACTTTCAGTTTCCATTGATTCTTCTATAATTGCATCTTCCATGATACTTGACTTACGAATACCACGAGTTCTCCTTTTTACATCTAACGATGAAGAATCAACACTAGTTGCCCTTCTTGTTCTAATATTAGATAAAGTTTCCTTGCTTTCATTTAAATTCTGAGGAGAATTTAAAATCATTTCCATTTCCTCTGGTATAGGTTGAATCGACGAACGTCGACTACGTGTGTTTGCTGCTGGACTACTTGAAATGTCTTCAACAATCTTAGATATTGAATTTCTTCTTCTCCTAGTTTGTAATGTAGGAGTTAATGATCCTTCTGGAATGTCAGGAGTCATAGATTTTTCTTTCTGAGTTATTTTTATTGTTGACTCCTTAGGCACCGAATTACCACGTTTTCGTTTTGGTTGAACATCCGTTAATACCTCCTGTTCATTATTAGATTGTGTTATTAACGATGTGGACGAACTTCTAGTTAATCTACCCCTTACTGGTTTTTCTTTTTCTTTCTCTTTTTCTACTTCTTCTTTCTCTTCTTTTTCCTCCTTCTTCAATAATTTTCTTTCTGTTAATTTCGACATATTGAGATTTGCATTAATCTCATCAGCCGTTTTAGAAATCGATGTTGATCTTGTTCTCCTTGGTATTGGTGTTGAAACATGCGTTAATTCTTTTTGAACGGAAGAAGCACGACGTGTAACTCTCCTAGTTAATTCTTTATCTTTTACAGTTTCATCAGATTCTTTGTCAATTTTAGTAATAGGAAAAATATCTTTAGCGAGAGATGAACTTCTTCGAGTTCTTCGTGTCACAGGTGTAGTTATTAACGTATTATTCTCTGTATCATCTAACTTTTCTTTACTTTTATATTCATCTACACTTTTTATAGAAATAGTTTCTTTCTTAATTTTCGAAGAAGAATTGATTCTTTTAGATCTGGTCGTCATCCTTGAAGAAATACTTTCTTCTAATATAGTAGTCTCTTCTTTACTTTCTGTTGATATTTTATTCAATTTAATTGTACAAGAAGTAATATTATTTTCTTTCTGTAGTTCAATTTCAGATACATTTCGACGAGTTGAGATAACTTGTTGTGATGATAATTCATTTGAAATCGAATCATTGCTAGAATCTTCGACGTTCTTTAATTCATTAATTTTATCTATTTTCAAGTTTCTTTTATTTGTTCTAACAGTAACATTGTCTCGAATATCTTTTTTATTATTATATTCTTTGACATCATTACTATTATTTGATCCATCTTCAGTGATGTTAGAAACATCTGAGAAATGTAATACAGATTGTGGATTAATATTAGTAGGACGATCTGTTTCTGAATCAATATTATCTTTGTTATCATCTTCTGGTGATGGTTCATAAACTAATACTATTTTGCTACCATCATTTGATGACTCATCATCGGTGATATCAAATTCATTTATTACACTTGGCAAATTTGGTGAAAGAAGGCCATTACTAGATTTATTATTTTTTTCAATAGAATCATTTTTAACATTAGAATCAACTGTATTAATTTCTCGTTCAGGAGAATTAGGTAAACTTTTATATTCATGTTCACTTTCTTCGTTACAACTATCCTCATTAATTTCTTCTCTATCATAATCGTTAGATATTTTATTTCTTTCATTTTTATTTAATGATTCAATAGGTTGTTCTTCTTCCTTATTTAATAACGTCAATTCTTCGTTATTATCATCATCATCTAAGAGTTTAACAGGTTTATTTTTGACTAATGGAGTAGATGAAACAGCATTTTTATAATAATGTGATATATTAGGTGTATTTGATTGATTTAATGAATTAGTTTCATCGATTTCTTTGAATGATGCATTATCATCGATACTGCTACTAGGAGAAAGAATCATAGTAGAATACATAGTAGCTGATAATGAACTATGTAATCTAGTAGAAGATATTTTATTCGTTTCTGTGGAATGCGTAAGCGTATCTTTTGATGTATTTAATAAGTTTGAAGAAGTACCGGATGAATTGGTTGCAGTTGTATTTGTAGTATTTTTTCCAGTTAAATAACTTCGTCTAAGTCTTGGTCTTGGTCGTGGATAACAATTACTTTTATCGTTAAGACTATCATCCGATAAAAGTTTAGTAGTTTCATTGTGTGGTTTATCACTAGTATTTGGACTTTGAAATAATTCAGTATCTTTTTCAAATGTATCTGATTTTTGTAATGACATTTCTTCTGGAATCTTTTCTTCTATTTCTTCAGGTTGTTCTTCAATTACATTTTCATGATTAATATTCTGTACAGGACTATTTATGCTGAATCGTATTTGTCTATTGATTTTCTTTTGTTTCTCTAATGGTGTATCAGGTATATTTGTTTCAACAGATTGTGTAATAGAAAGATTAGGAGATGTCGAATTTTGGATTAATTGACGTATTTTTAAGATTGAATGTGGTGTCTCTATACAAGTCTTTTTATTATTCTCAACATTACTTTTTCGTTTGACTAATGGTGTATCGAATGTAACAGTTAAATTAGGAGAACTTGAAGTATTTGCTGTATCTGCGTCATTCGATAATTTTCTACGTTTTGTTCCTTCTGAAAATTCATTATTATCATTTTCATATATCTCGTCCAAAGTACGTTTTCTACGATTTTTATATGCCACCGTTGGAAATAAGACACAGCTTATATTTATATTACTCTCATTGGTTTTTAATGATGCACACGGAGCTGTGATAAATGGTATTCGACATTTGCCACTTTGGAATGATGTTTCTTTGGCCTTTTTAATGACTGTTTCATAAATGCTTTGTTGTTTATTAATACATTTGTAATGAGACATAGGTCTAGGATATTTAGATTCTAAATCTGTTTCAAAAGTTGTTTTAGTTATACCACTAGATAATTGTTTTATTACTGATGGCAACGTTGAATCATATGCTTTAAGCATTGCAGCAGATGTTGAAAGCATATTTTTTGGGACGTTATTTTTAAATTGACTTAAGAGAAGTTTATTATTTAATTCTGAATAACGACAACGTTGTAAATAATAAAGCGTTTTCATGTCATCCGATTTATTATTCTCTTGTAAAAATTTGACAAAAATTTCTTCTTCCTCTGGTTCCAATGCAAGGTGTAAGATATCGCCAAGTTTATTGTATGATTTGCAAGCTTCGAAAAAGCACGTTAATAATTGTGCATAGTGTGACGGTGGTCTGCAGTGAAAGGCTGATTGAACTAAGCCATGTTGAACAGATAAATTTACTATTGCACTTTGATCACTGGTTGATAATATAGGTGGCTTTCTAATTCTCAAATACATTAAAGCTAATTTTTGTTGATCATTTCTTACCAATGTACGTAATATATGTTCGTGATGCCAACTTTTAACATCAGAATCAGAAACCAATTGTCCCGTCATCATATTCAAAAATCCTTTATAATCATCATGATCGAGTAACCAAAATGCTTGTGTTAATTTAATTAAACTTGGACTCATTTTAAATGCTGAAGGATACTTTATCAATTGATCTACTCCAGGATAAGATTCGTGCAAAAGCATAACCAAATCCATTAAAAGATATATCACAATTTGATGTTTACATTCAGTTTCATTTATCTCTGCTTGATAACAATCGGTGAGATAACTTCTTAATAACGATTGCAATGATGGAGGAGGATAATAACCACTGACATTTACATCTCCACTCTCTCTTTCCCATTGTGATTTTAAAATAGGACATTCCTTATTAATTAACATATCAATAAACAATCCTTCATGTTCCTGTACATAATTTGTATTATTTTTAATTGCATCTCTTTTTTCATTATAAATTGACATCAATTTTTCATAAGGATAAGGAATTCGAAATGATAATGAAAGTGGTAATTGTCTTTCCTCATCTAAATCTTGTATTTCTGGTAATAAACCGACGTCATAAAACCAAAGTAATACCTGAAGATAAATGGATACACGTCTTAGTGCTCTTCTTTGTTTTATCATATCATCCGTTTCAAGTGTCAATTTTCCAACAACATTTGACAAGCATTCTAATTGTTGAGAACAAAATCGTAAAGTTTTCATTTCTGCTTCGCCAATGCTACTATCCGATTGATCAAATAATGGAATGCAAAGACGATCTGCCATTATTTTGATAGACGATGCACGTTGAACACCCCATTTTATAAATGATGGGTAAAGAAACGAGGCACTACCATCGGACCATTCCATTGCACATTTGACTAAAAATGAAGTCCAACGTTGTTCAAGACATAGAGAAAGTAATACTTCTCTTTGTGAATTTTCGTCGTTAATAAATGAAAGTTCTGTATTAAATGGCACCAGCCCAACAGAAAGGCACTTATGAAATAATTCCTTAGGTTGTAACAATATGACAGGTCCTGTAATTGCCATCTTACGTAAAAGTTCCGTCTGAATACCGCGTGTCAACCAAGTCATTAATCTCATCGTACTAAGTTCTGCCCATTCAAATGATAAAGAATTTGGATAATATAATTCTTCCGTTGGACATGGTCTATTATTTGGAAATTCTCGTAATGTAGAAGGTATGTAACTCGTGCTAAGTAGTTTATCGCCTGCACATTGTGCTTGAAATCTTGTACAATACATTGATAATATACTGTTTGGATTTTTACAATCATAAATAGTTTGAGGCATTTGTTCTTTGTACCACTGATTTAGATCAAATAATAGTAATCTATCGTTTGAAGCAATAAGCAACAAATTGTCTTCACCTCGTTTTATATTAGAATCTGCTTGATCTGGATTAACTTCTCTTTCAATAGGTGATAAACTAATAATCTTATCTTCTTTTTCTAATTCAAATTCAAACCTAAGACAAGGTTCTGTTTCCAAGTTGAAATAAAGGTTTGTACCTTTTTCACAATATTTACGTTCGAAGAGGAGAGCATACATTCGAAGAATCGGTGGCATTTTTAAAGTTTCATCTTCATATACAACCCATAAATAATAAAATGGTCTAGGGTCATCCGTAGGTTCTAATAATGACAAATGAGTTATAGTCATGTTTTCATCGAGTGGTCGACTAATCCATGCTATAGAACCATTCTTTTGCCAAATCATTATTCTTCCCAAACATCCAGATATTATACATCCAATTTTTGCAGAATAAATAATCATAGATGTTAATTCTTCTTGCATCAATGGATATGATTCAAATTCTATTCTGTTAAAACCAATATATTTTTCAATATCTGTAAAAATTTCAAAATATACTTCTTAATATTCAATTGAATGTTTATAAAATATCAAATAAATATGATTAATACATACTATTATTCAATAAATTATATGCCATATGCTTTTCTTTACTAGACAAACTTTTATTTCTATCACAATTTTGTTCAAAGGAAAAATCTAATTCTGCCGGTGATGTTTCATCCATACAATTATTAGAATTTGGATCATCCCAGGAAGATCTTTGTAAATCTATCATTATGTGTTGAAGATTGCGTAAAACTACACAAGCTATGCCATCCATATTACAAAAAATATTATCCGTTCTTTTATCATTTAATTCTTCCCATTCGGTGCCACCTGATACGACACAAACTCGTTCAATCCCAGTAGGTGTCTAAATGATAATAATTTGAATTTATTTTTCTTTTCAATTAAAAAGTTTCATATATAAATTCTATTATAAACTCATAATACTTACTCGTATAGCTCTTAATACACGTGACGTATTGCAATCGAATATGCATAATAATCCGGATGAATCTTTCATTTTGTTTGCACCATTGTCTAAGCCAACCAAAAGTAATGGTAGGTGTCCTGGTTGTGTAGGAAATTCAGATACACATGTAATCCTTTCACTAAATGTCCAGCAACAATTAATGTTTTCTCCAAATTTAACATTAAAAACTATTAAATGGCAATCATTGCTCATCCATGCGTATGTCGTTCCATTTAAAAATCCTCCCAAAGAATTATTGGTTGTATCGTAATCTTGTATATGTACAGACGATCCATATTCATCATCAGAATTTTTCAATCTATCCGATATTAATTTTCGTAGATCACTTACTCTCAAAGTCTAGAATTATTATTACACAAACATTTATAAGAATAATTAAATGCACTTAGAAATATGACAATAATATAATTCATTATATATTTTAATATATATATTCAATCATAACAATAATTACTTTTTAAATCTGAATTTGATCATTATAAATACATTCATAAGAATAGTTTTGTATTACACAAAGGATATATAGAAATATGACAATATAAGTTTATTATATTTTTCATTAATCATAATAATAATAATAATAATAATAATAATAATAATAATAATAATAGATAATAATTAAATTTACCTCGCAATTGACTTCTTCAAGTTCCATCATACTTCTTGCAAATTATCAAGGTAATATTTGATCAACATTTATATTTATATATAAACTTTTAAGACAACGTAAGGTTATGCACGCGCCGAATTACTTTAATTTACTTACATATATATCCAAACAATAATTAAACATGTACGACGAGCGTGTGAAAAAAAATCTATTATTAATCGGTTCGTTAATGTAACAATGTAATTTAGAAATACATATCGAAATCAGTACTGTCTCATACGCATTTCTGTACTCGTGCTAACATTTTATAATGGCGGTTATAGCTGAGAAATGCGCTAAAAGTGTTGCCAACTTTATAATTTAATTTATGCATTAATAACGGATTAAAAAGAATCATAGGAAAATATTGTTATTTGAAATTTATTATATCTATATAAAAATGTTGAATTTTTTTTTTATACAATTAATTTATCATTTTAAATTTAATTTTTTGTTTATTTGGATTTTCTTATATTCTATAGTTTATTTATTTTGAAAAGTTTTCAATTGGTATGCACTATTTGAAGAATATGATTGGTCTAAAAATATTTCTTCCTTTTAAAATCATTCGTCATAGATATTGTTTTTAATTACGTACTTTAAAGCGCCAAATTACAAATTACTTAAATAGGATTCGAATAAAATTATAATAAAACATATAATAATGAATATTTTTGAAAAATAAATAAAAAAAATGTTTTATCATTAGATGGTAACTCGAAGTTTCAATCATTCGGGTAAGTTATCGACCATTCACAGCGTACAAATCGAAGGAATAATAAAAAAAAAAATACAATAAAAATAATAAATATTTTGAAAATGAATATAAATATAAATAATTAAATATATAAATAAATATATATAAAAAAAATCAGTCGGTAAATATTTATCAATCGAGAATATACCTATTATAGGTAAATATTATTTTGTAGAAAATAATTTGGAGATTTCTGAAATATTGATTTGTTTGCATTTACAATAGAGAGAAAGATTCATCGACGTAGGAATTTAACGATAGTTCATGGTAACCATAGAAACAACATAACTATAAAATCGACAAAACGAGATTACGATGCATACCTAATATACTCATTTTATATACGTTTCTCCATATACACTGTGTGCCAGCTAGCACGTGCAACTTAATAACGTTTCGTGCATTTAAAACAAAAGTTTAATAAAGATAAAACGCGTACAATTAAATAATTAAAATATAATTAATTTACTTGTAAGTAATTAAAAAAAAAAAAGAATTATCATGATGGACATGGAAATGAACGCCGATTTAGGAGTAAGCAAATTTTCATTTTTAAATATTCGCTCCAAAAATAATTTCAAATATATATCGATCGAATCGATCGATATCTCGAAGTAGATAAGAAAATCGTCAGTCATTTGTTTTGAATTTTACTTCAATATAATTGTGTAACTTTAATTGCATTTTTATTTTGTAAATCACGATGGCGAAAGAATTCGAAACGAAGACGAAAGAGAAAGAGGAAAAAGAGATTATAAAGAGAAGAAAAAAATTCTATGTTAATATACAATTGAAAACAAATATATCGTTTTTTATTGTTAACCTAACCGCGCAACTCGAGCGGTAAGCACAATTTTTAAAACGAAGTTTTGAAATTCTCGTTACAAATCAACTTCGTTAAAAGAAAGAAATTACATTTGTAATAAATTAATAAATAATGAACAAAATGATTGACTATATAAAATATTTAAAAGTAATTTGAATTGCAATGAATTTTGGTGTTACTTTAAAAATCGGTAATATTCAATTTTTATTATGTAGTGAGATACAATTTTGAAGTGAAGGTTTAATGGGATGGGTTTGTGAATAAAATCAATCTATGGTATACCGCGTCAATGCGCGGCTAGGTGATAATATGTGATCGAGTAAAGTTTTTTACGAAGTACTTTTTCACGATAACTTTTACGATCCTTTCAGGATGATGGAAGCGAGACTAGTCAATCATCTTCTGAGGGTAGTTCAGCTAGTAGCACGTTTTGTAACTTGGAAAATGATTATGCGAGGGTAAGCAATTGATCGCCACTAAATAAATAATATTTCTTTTTAATTATATTCTTTATTTTTATGCACTCAAATAATATTTTATATATCATAAAGTATTAAATATATACTATATATCAATTATATTAACACTAGATATACCATCGTTTTCAGTATACCACCATTTTCTACCACACTAGTCAAAATGACTAGTGTATTACAAAAAAATGCGTTTTGAGGCTGCCAGTATTTATTTACTCTTAAAAAATAACAAAATTGTTTAACAATAATAATTTTAATAGATAAATGGATTTGTAGACATTTTTAAATAACAAAACGTTTAATTATTTAAAGAACACAAATGTTACATGAAGTAGAAGTTTTGAATTAAAATGGCTCGACCAGTCAAAATGACTGGTCTGGTATATCTAGTGTTAAATATATATTAAATACTAAATATTAAATATTAAATAATTATTATTAAATATTAAATATTAAATATATATTACATACCAATTATATACCATAGAGTATTAATATTATTTTTATAATATTAATATTAATATTATATTGCATATTGTTTTATAAATGAAAGTTTTAGTTTAACCCGAATATTAGGGTTTAAAAATTTTCAACTCACTTATATACAAATTATATTATATTTATATTTATAATTAAATATATATTGATTTTAATAATGAAATAAATAATACATACTTTTTTGTACAGATCATGAAAGAAATGAAAACTAATGATGCTTTAGCAGCATTCGAAGACGATTATAGAAGACTTTACGAGTTTTTGTACAAATCTCATAAGAATGAAAAAGAACTTACGGAAAAATGTTCTTCCTTAACGGTAAACTTCTTTGAATATATGTATATATACATAATAAAAAAGAAAGATTGATGAAGCTATCGGAAAACTAACGATGATACATATATACATACTTATATACATATATATATATATATATATGTAATTTATTAGAACCAGATCGTAGAGAATGCTAAAAAAATAAACGAATTGACGATCAAAGTTGAGACCGATACTACCGAAATTACAAGACTCAAAGAAGAAATTGAAAAAGCATTGAAATTAGCTGATGCTGCTCATACTCGTGAACAAAATGCGCAAGAAGTTATTGACAATTTAAGATTGAATATAACAAAATTAACCCATGAAATAGAAGTTAAGAATAAACAACTTGCCGGTGAAGAAGAGTAAGTTGTAAATTTAAATGATTCAAATTATTAAACGTTGTGTTTATACTCGATTTGATATATTAAATCATTTGCAATTTATTTCAATAATTCAATCGTAATATAAATAGAATTTGTTTTTATTTACATTATTCTCTCTCTCTCTCTCTCTTTTGAGAAATTATGACATCGTCTGTGTATTATAATTAATATTGGGATATAAATAATATTCTGGATCGTATATATTATTAAAAAACGGAATTTTTTCTTTTAATTTATTTTTATTTTTGTTTATTATGTATTAAATATAGGTCAGTGGTCAATGAACACTAAGGTAATTAATATTCCTTGTTATACGTTGGCTTTTCCTATCCCATTGGTAGGGCTACATATAATGAGTAACAATGAGAAACGGGTTGTACCGATTTTATTGAAAGTATTTTTCATTAAATTCGTCTCGCGTGCACACAAGTAAAACCCGAGGGAAACGTGCGCCGGTTTCCAAAAAAAAAAAAAAAAGTACAAAAACAGTCTACAAATAAAATTCGCTTTGGTTATACAGGGTGAACTGTTGGAAAATTGTTCTATGTAAATATTTGCTACGTTATTTATGGATACAGTATGTAAAACTAAATTACAAATATTTACAAAAAAGAATTGTTATTTATTGATACAAATATTTTTCAATATTTTCATCTGATTTGACAAAGATTTAGATGATTTTATTTAAATGTTTCACTCTGTATATTATATATTGTATATATATAGATGTATACATAGACACAAATGAAAAACCAACGTAGAGAACCAACGAGAATATTCAATTATCACGTACTCGGTGTGTGTGTGTGTTTTTTTTTTTTTTTTTACTTTGAGTATACATTTTCTTGACTGATAGTAATAAAAATTGTAGATCAGGAGTAAGCCAACAAAGGGAAGGCTTATTGAGAGAAAGAGAAAAATTATTAGGCGAAGTGGTAACATTGAAAGAGAGATTAAAAAATATGTCACAATATACAAATGAACTTGAAAATAAAAATATTACGGCAGAAGAAAAAATCATTGAAATGCAAGAAATGTTAGATATACGTACGAGTGAGGTTTCAAGAGAAAAAAGGGCTAAGGAAAGATTGGAAGATGATTTTCAACAATGTGAGGAAGAACTTGTTATAAAAAACGAAGAGTTTCACGTAAGTTTAAATCATTTTTTAATTGAATTAACTTTGATTAATATCAATTTCATTTCAATTATACAGACCATTAACGAAGTATTGAGAAGTGCAACGGATAACATTAAAAAATTGGAGAACAAATTAAAGGAACAAAAGGTTTCATTTGATAAAACGCAAAAGGAATTGAACAGATTATCGATAAAAAATTTAAATCTTCAAGCGGATTTGGAAAATGCCAATGTACAAATTGATATATTGGACAAAGAAATTGCCGACAAGGAAAAACAATATAGATTACTTAAGAATGAACTTAATAAGTAATGTCAAACAAAAAAACAAAAAAACAAAAAAAAGAAAAGAAACATTTTATTAATACGTTGATTTTTAATTATCGAATTTTATTTTAATTGTAGAGCTAATGAAAGAAGTATGAAATATAAATCGGACAAGGATATATTGGAGAAAAGATTTTTGAAAATTGATAATGAAAGAAGTAGACTTGAACAAGAATTGAAACAAGCAATAACTAATGTAAAGAACGTTGATTATGAGATGGGATTACTTCAAAAACAGCATTTCGAGGATAAGCAACTGTCCGAGTCATTGATGCGAGATAAGAGTATCTTTGCAAGGACTATTGAAAATTTGAAGGAGTACATTAAAAGTGTTGATCACGAAATGGCGGTAGTCAGTGCAAGCAAGAAGAAATTAGAATACGAGCTTAATAATGGTGTATATAGGGAAAATGAATTAAAAAGGAAAATAGAAATTATTGAAAAGGAGAGAGTTAAATGTAATTTTGAAATACGAAAACTTTCTCAACGAGTAAGTTGAATGCATATTTATGTGTATATCTCTCTCTTTTATTATTTAATTTAATGGCGGGAAGGAAAGGGAAATGGAGGGAAATAGTATAATGTCACGAAATGCTTGAAAAATAAGATTTTCAAATTTAATTCCTTTACTACTACTGTTACGATGTCCACACATACAAGTTATTATTCTTTAATTTATAACTACATAACTACGAAAATGTTCAGATTTCTAAATAAAATAGTTTTGTTATTTTATTTTTCTTTCTTTTTTTTATATTTTTATATGAGAAGTATTTTTGTAAATATATTTTTATTTCATTTGTAATTTAATTCTTCGTATTTTTGAGCATACCAAAAATAAAATATTATAAAATAAAATATATTTTCACACAGAGAAAGAAGAGATTTTTGTTTGAAAAATATCTTTTTTGTTGCTAATAAATTGAAAATATATATATATAAAAAAAAAGTAATAATCCCATTTTAATTATGAAATTTTAATGAAAACATTATTTTTCATAAAAGTAATAATAATCTCAGAACTTTACTTTTATATAACATAACTTTCTATTGGACTTCTCAATTATTCGTTAATAGTATATCGAACCTATAAACATATATACAAATATACATACACACACATACATTTTAGTTTATTAATTTATATTTTATAATAATATTTTATAACGTTATTTGTCTATAGAAAATATTTATTATATATTCGACGGTTAAACGATCATTAAAAGAACTTTTTCCGATCTAATTATCGTGCAATTATCTGTTTTAACAATAGCCCGGATGACCTCGTAAAAAAGTAATAAAGTTGAACGTTAATTATTCATTACGATATCCCCCCTCAGGAAAGCGGGGAGGGGGGGAGGGGGTAAAAAGAAAAAAATAAACACGAGAAAATATTGAGGACATGAATTACATGAAAATATAGGTAAAAATTAATTTCAATGGACAATGGTTCTAATTGAATAAAATTATAGAGAATGATTTTGTTCAAATCATAAAAAAGGAAAATAATTTTTAACATTGCATACATTCATTTTCAATCATCACAAAATTATCATACATATCTGAATATTGTTTTTTTTTTTTTTTTCTAATCAATTATCATTTTTAAAATTTTAATTGAAACATTAATTTATATCTTATTTAATAATAAGATTTACTTAATAGAATTATTTTAATCCTATTATAAAGATAATTATTTTATCATTTGTAATTTCTTTGTTTTTTTTTTTTATTTTTTTTTTATTTGATAATGTAATATATTCTACACCTTAATAGCTTAATTAAACGCTTCATGGAAGATGCTTGTACGCTTAAAATCTGGAATAATAGAGTTTGTATGTGTGCATTCATGTTACGATGTAAACGCATATAATCTTCTTGGATATGTAGCAAGCATGAAATGAATGAATATGGAAAGTTCAGTAAGATCGATAAAATGCATCACTGATATGTACAATATGAACACGAATACGGTGATGTGTTGAAATCTTGAAAATTGTTATATAACACACACACACACACACACACATATATATATATATATATATATATATACTATATTACGTAACACGATTCTTTTGACATATTTGTAAAAAAAAAAAACATTATAATTTAATGTAATTTTTAAATATCTTTATATCACCCCCACTTTCATCCCTTTTGGGTATGACAAATGGCAAGAGAAGGGTGTTGGATGTTGCTTAAAAATTGCATGAAATAAAAAATGTTTGTTTTTATGTTAATTTTTTTGTTCAAAGGTCAAGTTGTGAGTGATCATCTCTTTCAAAAGAAAATTAAAAACTTATAATTAAATGTTTAAGGATAGATTATTATTAATTTTAAATAATATAAATATATAATAGGTATATTATTTAAAAATAATTTTTTCTGTATGTAGATCGACGATTACATAAGCGAAATTAAGCTGAAGCAAGTAGAAATCATGGACTATAAGAAACGACTAGATGAGTCCGAGGCAAAGTACCGTCAGCAGCAGAACTTATTTGAGGTCGTTCGTAGTGAGAGGAATGCTTGTAGTAAAAGCTTATTGGAAGCTCAGGAGGATGTTCAGGAACTTAAGAGCAAGTTACAAATCATGACTCAACAAATTGAACAATTGAAAGAGGATATTGCAACGAAGGAGGCTGACTTGATTAAGAAAGAATTTGGTTAGTTTAATTGATTACTTTATTGAATATTTCAAAAAACTACAAGAGAAAGAAAAGAAAAATATAAAATAAAATTGGCCAATAGATTAATGTGTTCAAATTTTAATATAAAATATTTATTATTTTTTGAATTAAGAGAGAAATTTTTATTTCATTTGGATATAAAATACACTACGGTGTTGTATTAGTAATATTATATGATATTATAATTATATTATTATATTATATCTATATTATATTATTATATTATTATTATATTATATATAATATTAATTAATTATTAAGAAGAAGATAAAAGAAAAAAGATACTATTATTATAATTTAATATTAGTTAATATTAAATTATAAATGAATATAAAAAACATATTTGGAAGTATATCAATTGATTATAAATATTTCAGTACTTGGAAGAATCGAAAGAGAGAAGGAAAAATTAAAGATAGATCTACAATCAGCTCGTAAGGACATTTCAGATTTGAGACGTGAAATTGAAGAAATGAAAGAAGAGGAGAAACGTCTTAGACAGACGATTTTAAAAGCGGATAGAGACATAGCTCGTCATAAGAAAGATATCGACAATGTCATGAACGAAAGAGATATTCTTGGTACTCAGCTGGTTAGACGAAATGACGAGCTCTGTTTGCAATATAACAGGATCAAGATATTGAACGGTACATTGCAACGTGGCAAGCAACAATATAACGAACGTCTTGAAGATATCAGATTGCTCAAGTTAGAAGTTAACAAGCTCAGAACTGAGAAAGTTTTACTGACCAAAAGCATAGAAAATACTTCGGATATGCGTCATGAGATTTTTCACTTGAACAGAGATCTTACTAAAGAAAGATTAAAGGTCATGGCATTGGAAGAAGAAGTTCAAACACCGTTGAATATTCATCGTTGGCGAAAACTTCAAGTGATCAATTTGATTTCTTCTTTTTTTTCTTTCCCTCATCCCTCACTTCTTATTCCCCTATTTGATTTATTTGAAAAGTTCGCTTTATTGACTTACGTATCAATTGCTAAAATATGAAATTGAACGTAAAACAATGTTTCAAATGATGTCATAAATGAATAACGAAGATTTCTTTTTTCTTTTTTTCTTTTTAAATTCTGAGTATTAAATATGCAATTTTTTGACATTTCTTTTTCTCTATTTTATTTTGTTGTAACCTTCACGTGAAAAACTTGGATTAAATTCTTTATTTCAATACATATATGCATAAAACTGAACTTTGTTGGTTCTATACATGCATCTACTATGTTTGTACTTTTCAGTAAATGAATATTAAAAAAA